AACGATAAAATGAATTATTTATTTGTTGGCTAAACCTTAAATCATAAATAACTGTAAATAACTGATACTTTATTTGCTTTTTTCCATTTCATAAATCTTTTTATAGCCCTTTTCAAGACACAAGACGTGATCAATGAAATTGATGTTATTTTTCCAATAGTTTTAATACAAGCTTTTTAGTCGTGTTTAAAGAGAGACCACACAAACAATTGATCTAAAAAATAATGAGCTTTTCATAATGAAAAATATGTTTTTAAATAATGTTTTGTTTGATTTTATAGTTAACGAATATTTATATTAACTAATGTTTGGCGACAAAAACAGCAATTTGTACGAAAAGCTAAATTTAATTAAAATACATCACATTATAGCCAATGTAGTCATTAATTAAATTCAAAGACATATACATGTATTACAATATTGTGTAAAATATATATCATTTTTAATTCCTTCCTTAAATCTAAAACATATTTATTTAATACAATTTATAAATCTTTTGGTCAATATTTATTAATCGTATTAATTCTGGTCTCCTATGCATTGGTCATTATAATAGTGAAAAAATACTGTGTTTTATGAAGTCATATAAAATAAAAAGCATACATTTCTCTCAACTCCTTGTTTTAAATACAAGTTTCAGCTATTTTTGTCTCAAATACTCAAAAACAAATTGTTATGAATTTTAAAATAAGATCTAATACTGTATTATATCATATATTGCAATGAATAGTGAAGCCATGAATTATAAAATATTCATTTCGGACAATCAATTACTTATAAAGGCTTTTGTGAAATACATTCACAACTTTTTATTTTAATTTTCGCCTTTTTATCTCAAACTTGAAGGGAAGTGTATATAAAATAAGTGAATATTTTGGTATTGATTTTGAATAGCAAATTGATCGGTTGCTAGTTCTCAGTGTGAATAAAGTGTGCCATAAGTATGTCTAATAGAGTGTATGATTAGGTGAACACAAATGTGACAGTTCTTTGCACTTCCTATACAATGGTGGTGTCAAAGGCAACGGCTATTCGATGCCAGTTATGGCCCACAATCACAGCCATCGATGAATATCTTTGTGAGTCGATAATATCGACTCAAATGTTTTGTCAGTTTGTCACACAATACAGAGTATATTATATTATTTTGGATGTTTGAGTTGCAAACTCAGGCAAAGCTGTGCTATCGATGTCTGAACAGAATTGTTACAGAATTGTGAGGAATGGCTACAGAATTGTGAGGAATTACTACAGAATTGTGAAATACATCTCAATGTATGAGTGAATGAATGAATGTATGGGTCTATTGGACTATTGGTCTACTTTGGTTGGACCTATCGGTGTGATTGTCATTCGCACACATACTCTACTATTGTGTCAATTCTTAGCCTATTTATAGCGATTTATTAATAAGAGCTGACAGTGCGCTCGTATTTGTCAACAATAATGTAAAATGCTATTCAATGGTAAGACATCTCCCAAATCGCATCGATAACTGAGTTAAGCGTTAGTTATATTTCTATAGCAATTGAAATATATTTAAACAATAGGAGCCTTTCTATTCTTACATTCAATCAAATAAAAACATTTCAAATCAAACAAAAAGTATTTTCTCTCTTTTCTTGTTCACTGAATACAGCTTTGGGTCACATTTGACTGATATCTTCAATGCCTTTTGTCCACAAGTTTTGGTTTTTATACTTTCCTTCTCTTACCAACAATTCATTTATATATTTGTTTCCATGAATTATATCTTCCCTTTGATTATAATTTTTGTGTTATTAATGAAAAACTCTAAAAGAGATATTTGGCGTGAAAACTATGAAAGCAAACATTCATTAATATATATCTTTCTTTATATTGTATAATATTATTATGGATCTCATGGGTCTGTTATTTCGCAAAACAAATTATAAATTACTATCAAATCAATACATTTAAGTCCTTTAATCTTTTTTACTCAAATAATTTTGTGACTTTTAGTTTTAATTATTTACTTTTTTTTTATTTTCACTCAACTCATTGATTGTATACACAATTTGAATTAAAATCCTTAGAATTAAAATTAATAATTTAATTATAATTTTATCACAGAACTATTTATTTAGTTATAATTATTTTTCAATTTTTTTTAATAAACTTAAATTAATATTTAGTAAATTATGTTTTCAAATATTTAATTTTTTAAAATTAAATTCTTTGTCTAATAAGTTATAGTGAATGATGTATTTATTGATTTAATTCAGGAAATACAGTATATAGATTAATCCAATGTTAGTTTTATCCAAATAACCTATAGACACACATTGATGAATTCAGATTATTGTACTTTTCCATTAAACATAATGAAATATTACATAATTTATTCAAATTAATATAAAAATTTGTTCAAATTACTTTGCATTTACATTAAAGCAATGGTATTTCTGTGTTATAATCTATTTTCATTAATATAGTAATCTATTAATTAATAAAAATGATATTTATTGCTATAACTTTTAAATGTTTTTCACAGTTTATATTATTGGCAAATATAAATAAATAAATTGTTTCATTGGAGTAAAACACTTAATCGTTGAATCTCTTTAAAAAACAAGTTTATTAATAAATGGGTTTTTAAATATAAACATACACATATTTTGTGTATATTCTGTATGAATGCCATATTTTGTATAGTACAAGTACAAAGTATAGTTTAAATGAGCCGACACTATGGGCACTAAAATTCAATGATTTGTTTAATCATAGCTTTAAATTTGATAAATATTCACTAAATATCTCATTTTATTGGAGTTGTGTTTGAATAATATATTTCATAAGTTCTTACTGTATGTATAAATGTATTAATAGAATAGAATATTATTTTTGGCTCACATTTGACTTTTATATGAAAGACAATCTGAATAATAATTTACATTTCCATAGAATTTTATATTAAATTTGCTTTGTTACATTATTATATTAAACACTTTATTCGCTTAGTTATTATTTATTGAAATATTAAAATTGTATAAGAATTCAAGAATATTCTAATTATATGATAGTTTAACGATAGAGAGAGAAGTTAGCATAAAATTTGTTGGACAATAAAATAAATAAACAAAAATTCTGTTGTAATTCTTTAATTAGTTGTGAATGCAATTAAACAAATTTCTCATTAAAACGAGACAAAATTCTTTGTGAATCTAAAATACATTCTTTAAAATTCTCATTATCTCTAATATACAGTCAACTAATCTAGCATTTAAGAAGTTGCAACATATATTTATTTTTGTTTCAATAGACATGAATTTGTTATTCATTATACTTTTGTAGCATTACCGTAAATCATTTTTATTAGTAATTGTAAGGATTGGGCGAGAGAGACAGCATTTGAATTTAATACTGTAGTGTTCATAAATATGCAAATACCTTAAATAGATTACCGTTAAATGCAATATTGTTTTAAATGAAAATAATGTAATGAGATTTTTTGTTCAATTTGTTATAAATTGATTATTAGTGAGTGAGCCGTAGATTAGAGTTCTGTGTATTACTTGAAATTCATTTCTTTAGAATATTCTCCAAAAAAGTGAATTCAAATATATTTCAATATCGTCTGAACGAAATGAAGGCAAATAACGATTTTGCTAAAGTATTATTAGTATATGATTAGTGCAGTACTGTATTATATAGGTTGGGATGCATGGGAATGGATGAGAAGAGTGAGACTACAATAGAGAGTGTATTACATAAGACCATAACATAACCTCAATTCCTATTTACAAATGATTGTTATGTAAGATCTAATGATATTATGCTATAATTTGTGTCCATTTGTCAGATTATTCGAAGAGAATCGCGATTTACTGAATCTGTTCGAGAAATTCCAGACATTGAAGACAAAGGAGTCTCAGATGGAAAGCATGGAATTAGCAGAACACGCGTCCCTTGTTATGACTTCCTTGGATGAGGCCATCAATTCACTTGAAAACGTCGACTATTTCATTGAATACTTGCACTCAATCGGAAAACTACACCATAAAGTGCCCGGATTTCATAAGGAATACTTCTGGGTAACCATTCATTTCCATATACTCTACATACTGTATACATACAGTACATATAGAATATTCTGTACAATAGCATACATTGTTGTGTAGTATTAGTATTTTGTTACAATTCAAATGATTGTTTTTATAGAAAACTGTTTTCATTCTACATTAAACTTAAGTGAGAATATAGTGAATAGACTTATATTTTAAAGAAAAATATTGAATAAAATAAATAATGAAATTGTAATTGTGTTGCAGAAAATCGAGAGTCCATTCCTGGAAGCAGTTAAGGAGACATTAGATGAGAGATACACTGAGAACATGGAAACCATATATAAGATAATCATTAAATTCATTTTGCAAACACTTGTCGAGGGATACGAGAACTCGAGTCCCGGTAACAAAGAAGGGCTCACATCTAAATCGGTTGAGATTAATGTTAATGATGTGCCAAACGAGTCGTGATTTCATTGACATCTAATAAACACATTTCACACATTATCTCATATACGTTGGGCTCCGGAATCAAATTGTCTACAATTGTATGAGAAATACATTTTAAGTTTTCATTCACTCTATTTGCTCTTCAAATTCATTGCATTTGTTTGTAAATCAAAATTTTTTAATTCAATTCTACATTAAGTGTACAAATAATTGATTGAATCGGATATCGGATTTGGTTTTATGATTTGACTTTGATTTCTATGAAATAATGAGATCATCGGTTGCTATCACCATAACATCATAACTGAAGACATGGTCTTTACCTCAACGATAAGTCAAGAGTCCACTAATTTATGACTTATTCTCAATGAATGGCAACTCATTTATGGATTACTTTTCCTTAGTCTCAATAATAATGTATATAATCTTAAAGTAATGAAAATATGAGATGAACTCAAAACTGAACTAATTTTTAAGAAAACAGTTATTATATGAATAGATGTGTTAAGAATTGTATTCAACAAAAAACAAGTGATTCACTCGACTCTGCCTTTTGGTGGAAACACTTTTATCACAACATTTAGGAAATAAAATCTCGATTTGAAAATGTTATGATTTTTTATAGTAAATAAAATACAATTAAAATACAACTTTTAAAGTTTCTTGTTTTTTAGTGTAACGGTAAACAGTGCTGTAATAAATTTAGTCTTATAATGACTTTATTGTAAGCACATGTAAAGTAATTAAAACTTAAAATTAATTATTATAAAACAATTTTCATAAAAATGATTTTTGTCAAAAAAATTATACAAAATATGTTATATTGTTTTAATTCATTAATGAATTGAAATAAATGACGGGAATATAAAACAATTAATTACAATACTTGTAACATCTTTTTATAAACATTTGCTTTCCATTTAAATGCCATAAAATGAACTCTTTTTATGAATAATTTAGTGAAAAAGGACTCATAAATATGAGAGGAGACAGATTAAAAGCATTACTTTAATCCATACATATTATCATCAATTATGCATTCAATCGAGACATCAATGAGAGTTCACAACAATTCGCCAAACAATACATCGCTATTCAAGTTATATATTATATTTGCATTTATAGACTCATTTGGATTCATTAAACTAATCTCAAATTATTTGCAACTCAATAAATACAATTGCTGCAAAATTATTAGTTATTTAGCAGAATATTTACCCTGGTTAGCTATGAAAAATTGAGTACTGTATCCCATATAATGCACTATAATGATGATACAGACATTTATAACATGAAATAAGCCGCTTCTATTAATTCGTAACACAAATAAATATAAATCTATTTATTTAAATATTATTTAAAGAGTAACTAAGTTTTTATTAAATGAGATATTTTTCGCTTACTGTATATTTTGAATGAAAGATGCTTTGAAAGAACTTTTTATGCAAAATAATCAAAAGGAAGTAAAATGTAAGTTAATTAATAGATAAACCTCACAAATTTAATACTTTGTGTTTTTATATGAGATTATTTAAAAAGTATTAGAGTTGTAATTAAATACAATTTTGTGTGAGAACACAAATTATCCCTAATTTATAAGTTTTCAAAGAATCATTTAAAATAATATAAAACTTATTAATATTTAAATAAAAGTTTGCATAATATTTTTTGTAGCTTGTACATTAGATATCATAGTGTATAAAATAGTTATCATATTAGTTCAAACTAAATAACTACAGTATAGTCATAAAAGTAATAAATTGATTTTTAGGCACTAATTGTAATTTTCATACAATTCTTGGCTTTAATGACTGTTTTGTGAATAGTGTGGGAAGAGGTGGGAAGGGATCACAAGTGGACTATTGTTTCTATAAATAACTTTAATGATATCCTTATAAATGTCTTCAATTATGGATTATTTAATAGATTTCATGTGTTATCTGCAAACAAGATCCAAACCATCGAAATCTTACAGTAATTTCACTTATCATTCATTCATTTGCAGCGATTGCCAAATGATTTACAATTCTTATGGCATTTCAATACAAATACCCAATTAATTAGTATAATTGTCTTACAATGCAATCAAACTTTAAGCATTTCTTTTAACCTGAATTTCAACTAATTTCTACAAAATCCGTTTAAACACATTACAGCAGTGCTAATATAGGGGTTTCACTGTATATATAAATGGGTGTATCAATAGGTGTGTTTGAGTGTATGTATTGTATAATACGTGGAAGTATTGGGTGTAAGGTTTGGTTGACATCTGTTAGTCTGCAAACGTATCGCAAGTCTATGTGCAGTGTTTGTTGTGATTCAGTGTTTGACTGTCAGTAGTGTTGTCTCACTTCTCACTCAATACTAACCACACATTGACTTGACTTTGAAATATGAGTGAAACGGTGAACCAAAACGAGTCCACCGGCCATAAGAGTGCACTCGTAGTGAATGGAGACACAGAAGTGGACGATTTGGTGACCAAATGGGCGTTGGATGACTGGACACAACTGTACAGAATTGCCATTAAGTTCTACAGAGGTTTGTAGTCTTCGGCACACTTTTACCACTCATGTCATAATCACTGGATGTGTTAATTGGCAGACAATGAGAGCAAAGCCTTTCACCCGACATATGACACTCGCAACCAATTCATGGCTTTTATACTACAAGAAAAATACGGCAATTTTGACACAAATAAAGCCAAACCGTTGGGTACTCTCGATATCGTCGGCAAAGATCGCCGGTTTGTCCTCATCTTTGTGTCCATCAATGCATTTGTAACGAGTTTTGTGATAATTTACACAGAAATTCGTGGATATCTCTGATAAATACGGACAAACAGTCGGCGCAAAGAGGTTTTGTGCAACTTTTGAACCAATTGTGTCCACTGTTTGATCCGTACGTAAAAGCAATGAAATTGGATTTCGACGAAAAGGAAAGACTGAGACGAGAGGCACAAGAGTTGGAGGACAAGAGGGCCCAAGAGTTGCACGAAAAGGAGAGATTGGAGTTGGAGTTGAAGAGGGCTTCGGAACGGGAGACGAGGGAACGGGAGGAACAGAAGTGAGTTGTTATCGCAACATATGATATGAGTTCTGCCATCACTTGTCGCTCTTTGCGATCATTCAATCGATCCGTTCATTCGCTTATAATATATACGTTTCTTAAGCATTAGTTACCATTTTTAGCGCATCTAATGATCTGACTTTTGATGTCTTTTATTACTTAAGGCTTATATACTGTTAATTATCTTTTATTTATCGTACCATTCCTTTAGTACACTTTTAGTACCGCTAAAAGCAAACAGTTTTTATTATTTTTATTCATTACTTTCATTGCGTTTGTCCACCAAATTATAGATCAAATATTTGTAAACAATTGACACAAATGTCAATCCCTTAATAGATCTTACAATAAGTCTTAAGTTATATTTAATAGCGTAACAAATAATGAACTGAAACTCAATTACACTGTGAGTTGTGTCACCAATTTACTTTTGATAACTATTAGTTCATTGCTATATAAAACATTTTATGTAAAACTTTATTATATTTTAATGACTAGACGTGCCATTCAAGAGGCCCTCAATCGACAAACGATACAACAATTTAAGTCTTACGCCGAACAACAATATCCGGGAAATATTGAGCAACAAAACGATTTGATCCGTCAATTACAAGAACAACATTATCAGCAATATTTGCTACAATTAGGGGAACAACAGCTCACACGGACTCACAACCAGAACATGAATAACACGAAAAACAATTTCGTCAACAACGAGACGACTGTTAGGCCGACAAATAACTCGCAATCAAATACTTTAGTCACACAAACCGTTACACTGGAGCCACAGATGATGGCACCGGACGACCAGCACAACAACCACTTGGAGCCGACCACTGGCTCTGAGAGCGACTCCGAAGATGAGAGTTTTGGTCCGATAGCGGGCGCCTCGATGTGGACCCGGAAGGACATCGCACTCTTCAAGGAGTCGATTCGCTCGGAAGGGGGCGACGGTATCATCAAAGTAGGACACGGAGAGATCGTTACCGTACGGGTGCCCACTCATAGGGACGGCACCTGTATTTTCTGGGAATTCTCTACCGATAGCTATGATATCGGTTTCGGATTACTATTTGAATGGACCAAAAATCCCGGCAATCAGGTGTCGGTTCACATCAGCGAAAGTGAAGATGAAGACGAGGATGAAGAGGAAGGTTTGGATGAACTCTCACTAAATCTATTGATACTTAGAATGTGTTGTCATTTCAGGTGAAATAGCTTTGCCTAACGATATAGAAAAGGGCGCTTCACTGGACCCGGAAAAGGAGGCCATGTCTCCTAAGAGCCAAACAGACAGTTCGCCCATAAGTGTAATCATTCCTATCTATCGAAGGGATTCTCACGAAGAAGTATTCAGTGGTTCCCACGTCTATCCCGGTTCGGGCGTCTATTTGTTGAAATTCGATAATTCATACTCTCTTTGGCGATCAAAAACACTTTATTACAGAGTTTATTACACGCGATAAAAGTGATTCGTTTTTCAATTAACTTATTGTCAAGATTTACGTGAATAGCAGTCAACACAACACTTTCATTCATTCAATTCTATTTCTGTTGTATTTGTTTTGAATTTTTGTGTGCTTTTCATCCAATTATTCATTTATTGAGTGAAATACATTTCAATGAAATTCAATACTTCGATATCCTTTTAATTCTCTAATTATATGAAATTTAATACTAATTGTTTGGGTTTTGTTTCGTATAATGTCTAACTTTAAATGGTATTTAACTATGTTTTTATCGCACATTTTATGAGATTTACCACAAAAACATTTCAAACAAAATTCTGTTTTCAAAACAACACAGCTATCGATGAATGAATGCCTGGAAAACTGCTATTTTTATTATATAAACCAAATGTTTATTATATAAGACAAGGATTTTGTAATTTAATCGAAACAAAGATTTACTTTCAATATATTGGAAATATTTCTTAATTTATTAAAAAATTGACAAAAATTGAAAAAAAGATTTAATTTTGTGTTTAATATAAATATCTAATGAAAAAGATGTTAACAATTGATTGAAAATATTAACAAATTGTTGAAATCAAATATAGACTCAATTAAAATGAAAAAATCAATAAATACTTATTGAGTGGCCTTTGATTTGAGTCCACTTTTCTTCTTATTATCCTTCTTCTTGAGTCCAAACAGATTGCCTTTAATTAGGTTCGCGTATGCCTTCACACAAATCAATCAATGGTTACAAATGATATTACAATCAAATGGTGGGATCAGAGCTCACGAGTTGAAATTTGTTGACATCTCTCGCGGCCACAACCGTCGAGATCTTGCGTTTGCTGTTATGGACACGAATGAGACACTTGTTCTCAGAGGGCTGTGTCGACGACTGACTGGTCGTCTCGGTCTTGGGCTTAGCGGTGGCCGTCTTCTTCGTCTGCGGTCTCGTCGATGGCTTCTTCCTCTTGAGCTTCTGGTCCTTTGGCTCCAACCTCTTCATCGTTATATACAGTGATCCGCCTTTTGTTTGGTTCGCGTGAAACAGTTTTGTCATTTCGCTCAAGAACTGCACCACCGATGACACCACCGATCACAACAAAATGCACATCAATTATGACATCGTTATAATCAACTGATCCACGGCTCACACCACTCACCGTTTCGTTGTTTTCGATCAACATTTCGATGAAATGTCTTCACGTGGGATCAGATGTCAACCAAAACAAGACCACAATGTGTGAGACGTGTGACACAAACACTCAGACATTCAATGCATTCAATACGTCCTGTAATTCAATACAACTGTCCATTCATTAGAAATATAATTGAAACTAAACTCAACTGAATTGTATTGAAAACAATTTACAGATAAGTTTTGTTCATTGTATGCAAGTTTTCTATAATTAAAACACTTTATCGACAATTAATTAATCATTTTCTAACTTATAGTTAATCAGACGTTATGTATACTGTATTTGTAGTAAAACTTGCTGTAAGTGTTTGTTTAGTGAGAAATCTTGTGAATGATTTCAATGAGATTCACAGCAAATGTGTCAACAGAAATTCGTCACACATTGAGTGCATTGGAGGCAAACAATCGGCGTTTTGAACACAACTTTCAACTCAATTGTTGTCTAATTGTCTTGAAGTGTGTGAAGATGTGTGAAGTATTGCCACAAACGGGACACCAGTNAACAGAAATTCGTCACACATTGAGTGCATTGGAGGCAAACAATCGGCGTTTTGAACACAACTTTCAACTCAATTGTTGTCTAATTGTCTTGAAGTGTGTGAAGATGTGTGAAGTATTGCCACAAACGGGACACCAGTTGGCGGTCGATGTGAAGGACAAGACCGACAAAGAGGTGGCGATGAGTGAAGAGGAGGCGGCCCTCTATGACCGACAAATCCGTTTGTGGGGGGTTTCGGCTCAGAAGAAGCTGAGGACCGCTAATGTCTTGATGGCGGGCGTGAATGGCGTGGGCTCTGAGGCCGTCAAGAATATAGTGCTGTCGGGCGTCAAAGGCATCACTCTTTTGGACGACCAGATGGTCGACGCGTCCGACACTCTCTCCAATCTGTTCACAAAGCGACGGATCGGACAAAATCGCGCCCAAGTGTCCAAAGAGTTGGTCCAATCACTCAACCCTAATGTGGCCGTCAATTGCGACAATACTTCCCTCAAAGACAAAGACGTGGATTACTTTAGGGCCTATGATGTGGTGATTGTGGCCAATCATGACAAGCAAACCATGATTAAAGTGAACCGAATCTGCAATGAACTGAACATCAAGTTCTTCGCGACCGCTATTTGGGGTTCATTTGGCTTCACGTTCACTGACTTGGGTTCAGACCATTCATACTTTGCTGAGTATTCATTCATTTGTTATCACCATTTGATCCCATATTTGATGCAATTATCGATTTGAAACTCATTTAGAGAGGAAGTGAAGGCCGAAGACGTGACAATTACTGTCACTGATTACGAACCCATCAAAAAGAAAGCCAAACTCGAAGAGCAAACCAAACAAATCGTCCAAAAGGTATGAATGGATGATATTATGAATGAATTGCAGTTTTATTCATATAATTGATCAGAAAATAAGTTACACGCCGTTGGAGACGGCGCTGGCCGTGAAGGCAGGAAAGGCTGGCTATGGACTCACCAAACGGACGAGTAGTACATTCATTATAACTCATATAATCCTTGAGTTCTGTGACAAACACTCTCGCTATCCATCGACCGATTCTCGCGACGAAGACATCAAAGAATTGGAAAAATTGCAGAAAGAAGTGATCGAAAGACTGGGAGTCGACGACAATATAATCAAACACAAGGATTGGCACAAAGAGGTCTTCGGGCAGTTAAGTCCCGTCAGCGCTATTGTGGGCGGAGTTTTAGGTCAAGACGTGATTCGTGCCGTTTCTCAAAAGGATAGTCCCATCAGAAACTTCTTCCTCTTCGACGGCATTCTCTGCAACGGTTCCATCGAAAGTATTGGCAAATAATCCAAATGTGATTTCAATTGAAAACATTTTCACTGGAATTCTAATTAACCATTACTTTGTATTTGTTTTATTCATTTTTGTACTGAAAATCCGTTAAAATTGAAAGTAATTTATTATTAAATAAAAGCAGTTATTATCTGTAATACAGATTCTGTATTACCATTTCATTACATCCGTCCAAATGTTTTGTAAATCAGATCCTTTGAAATAGAGCTCACATTTCTTATCAATTAAATCACTTTGTGTTTCATTGAAATGTTGTTTCCAATCGCCGACAACTCCTTTGCGAACTATATATTCATTTGAAATCAAATCATTTCGCATGTAATCAAGTGTTGAATAATTGAGAACTTGATTCAGAATGAGTTCATTATCTGCTGTCAGAATCTGTGTATAATGTGGTCCCAAAAATTGTGCCAAAGTTTGAATGCTTTTTCTGGTATTAGTTATCATTTGTTCGTAGAATAAAAAGCAGAAATTCTGTTCAGACCTATGAGTCCAGAGAGACATAATGTGCTCAAAATAGTCGCCGTAAGGAATTTGTCCGCTAATGAAGTGCTCAAAGAATTTATTGAAATCGTATTCAAATCTCATTTTCATGTGACTATAATACGAGACACAGGTGTCTTTTGGATTCCTTAACACAATCACATATTTAGTCGACTTATTATACGGCAATAAATTGATTGGTAAATGAGTTTTGATTATTGGATTCGTTTGGCATTCAATTCCTTTGTATTCAAGGCATGTATTATTAAGAAAATTTTTATTATCAATAGGTTTTCCATTATTGAGAATGAGATAAATAATATATTGAGTCCAAGTTGTGCCACATTTTGGGTAAGTCACTAAAATTATGTCCGATTCTAATGGTTTGTAATTGAGAGCAAAGTTTATAGTTTCTGGAGAATAAGATATCGGATATTTGAAACCATTATAAGACATAAAGAATTTTGTTAAATATTCAGACATTTTCTTGCAAGTTAGACATACAGTAATAATTATTACAATTACTTGTAATTATTACACAGATAGACTCTAGTTACTAGTCTATTAGTTGCAAAATTAGCAGTGTTTGTTTATAAAATAAATTAAGATTAGATATTGAATGAATTTTTAATAAAAATACTTTTAATACTCAAATGAAAAGTGAATTGAACTAAAATAAGAATAAATTTAAATAAACACTTATTTTTAAATTGTTGACATAAACTTTTGTAATACAGTATGTAATTACAATGTTTTACAAATGTAATACAGCAATATAATTTAGTTTGTATTTATTTGACTATAAATATACAGCACCTATACAAAGTATAACTTAAAAGTTATAATTATTAATAATAACTCATCGAAATATAACATTTTGGCACAAAAACATAACTAATTTAGACAATTAAAGGGTTTATGAGATCAAAATGAGTAACTTTTGAGGAAATGAGAGTAAATTACTTTTGTTAGAAAACTTTAATTGTTATTAAATATACCTATAATATGTTGAGTTAATTATGAAATTTGTTTTATAAATGAAATAATGTCTCAAAAATGCATATAATCTCACAATTCATCGGTGAATCTTAAGTCCTCGAGATTTTGTCCGAAATCTGTGGCTTCACTGCCGACAAACACGTCGTTGTGCTCAACGATCTCATCCACAGATAGTTTTCCATCGGAGTTGTCATCGGAAGCAGACATCAAGTGATTGGCTTCGGTTTCGGCCATTTCGTTGTTGTCAGGAATGAGCCAAAGATAACACTCTTTTTGATTAAGTCTTTGGTCTCCGTCTAAGTCATAGTCATTATGGAAGCGATCCTTTTCTACTAAATAGTGTTCAGACGCCCTGTCCAGAGGTATGCCATTGACATCACTCGCGAATTCATCAAACTCTAAGAATCCATTCTTATTGCGATCCCTTTTAGACATCATCTGCTGGTAAATGGTTTCGTGCATCGCTTCAAACTCTTCGGGACTATTGAAAGCGGAGAACTCCTCGGAGTCGAGAACTCCGTCTTTGTTCACATCCGCCGCTTCCCATAAGGCCTTGTCTTCGGCCATCACCTCATCCCTCAAAAGCTGTGTTTCGTCCAAATCGTCTTCGATGTCAAACGAGTCCTTCAGGTGTTCGGCCCACGAGACCACTCCATCACTATTCAGATCCTCCTCTTTCAGTCTCTCGTTTCCGTCTTCGATGGCCAGCGTTTTGAATGACTTGAGTATCCAATCAATGAGTTCTTGTTTGTCGACGAATCCATCCCTATTGGCGTCCATACCAGTGGTCACTAATATCCTGAGTCTTCGTTTGGATTCGTTGGCACTCATGGTATCGAACTGTTTGGCGGTCTCTTTGCTGCCGAGGACGGCCTCGTGATCGTAGTGCCACTTGTGGTCATTGCCGTCACTCTCATCAGATCCACCCGTCTTCATGTGATCCATAAAAGCGTCTTCGAGTCGCTCTTTGGTCTTGAGGTGAGGATTACAAGACGTGACACATATTGTGGTCAATACAACCATTGCACACAATTGCACACCTGATCCATACATTCTTAGATTCAGTGGTAAAACCATTTAAAATTTGTTCAAATTATCATTAAATGAAATAAGTGTATATGTCCTGGATGAGTTTGGGTTGAATCATATGATAAGACACTACACGTTATATGAGTCTTAAATAACACATAATTTGATTGAATTTAAACATAAATTCTTGTAAAATATTCACGAAATACTGATATTCATTGACTTTGTGTTTGTTTGTCATTCAATGCGAGCTTATGTTTGCTTACAATTCAATGCAATGTTTGCCTTTAAATTCCTGAAACTCCTGTTGTTTGTTAGGTTAGGTTAGGTTTGCTTAGATTTTGCCTCTCTATTCAATTTCAATGCAATTCTTTGCAATCTGTAATAGCATTACAGTATAGCATCCCTTTCCTACAGTACTTGTACTCATTGCACGACAATAACGTTATTAGATTATCGTGGTCAGAATATTCTCATTATCTTATTGTCTTAAACTTTATTCTTCAAATCTATAATACTGTAAAAACTATTAATTATAAGTATAATTTATAACCATTTTACTTTTAATCTCTAGCATTTATATACCGGTAATTATAAATTGGAGTCGATTAACAGGGTGCTTTTTAAGTTTTATTTTTTTGACTTGTGAGTAGATTTTACCTGTTTAATCAAATTTTCTACAATTACCTCAATTCCAAGAATAAATATCATTACCTTATTAATTACTGTATTATGACAGTGACACTACTGTAAACTCATTTATTTACTTAAGTAGCTAATGGTAATGACAAACACATTCTGTATACTGTACAGTAAATATTATTTCTAAGTTTCAGAATAATTATTCTGACGATAATAATAAGACGATTATAATAGCATTTAATGTTATTTTAAATAAATTGTTTAGTTTTGAAATTTGAATAAAATTTATTAACGAAATATGGCTTTGGGTTGAAGTGAAACAACACTCTAAAAGTACAGCGATTTTTATAATACATTTAATTCACAAATTAATTGGAAAGAGATAGAAATATAAAGTAATGTAAATATATGTATATATTTAACAGAAATCTCAATCAACTCTATAATAAGCATCAATAATAGCTGTTTGAATTAAGTTGTAATAGTATTTAATCCTAATTTAATGGCCGTTTCTGTCAATTACCAAAGAGAGTGAGAATTACAATAAAACTAAAGCTATATTTATATTCAAAATAGAAAAGTCTTATAAATTATATATATTTATATAATAACATATATTTTCACTGATCGTAGGTTTAAATAAATATATTTATAAGTCTTTGGTATTTGACAACAGTTTGCATTGTTGTGACAAATGGGGCAAAGAATCGCCAAATTGTGACCAATTCTAGCGAATTAAGCAAAATCTCAGTTTTATTTATAAATTACTAACTCATATGCATTTGACAATTCTTTGCCACATATGTGTTGACAACTGTTGGACACAAACTTTGAATTCAAGCCAATAATTCATTAATCATTAATCTTAAAATATATTCACAAATTGCACAAAAACTACATTTAAAAAATGAAAATAATTTACAATTAATATAATAGTTAACTGTGTATTAAATTCAAATTTCAGCTCAACTTTTGAAACATAAAACAGATCTCAAACAAAATTTACTCCAAGGTTTAGCTCAGTTTCTCATCGCATGAGAAGCAAACAGTTTTGTAATCAATAAATAAATTGTAATAATCATTAGTATATCTGTTGACAACTTTCATGACTCCTGACAAATAGGTTTCAAATAAATATCTCATAAAATATGGAAAAGAGAATAAAGTGTTAAATGGTTTGTAATTCATTGGAACTCGTCGTCAGACGATAATAAAGTAGTTTTTTCGGTATAATTCTGACTAATCGTTGGTATTTGTCGTCCCTGTTGTTGAGTAGACTTTTTGCCAGTTTTGGCCGACTCTTCGGGCTCTACAGTGGACGCCATATTCACCACACCGTTCATTGCGTTCACATCGATAGACACACTGTTGTAGCCGTTCTGGGGCTCATTGACAGCACCCGACTTATTCAACGCTCCCGTCTCTCCCACCGGTTTGTTGGAACCACTCGTCGATTTGGTGGACGACTGGTATTGAGTGTACTGTTGGTAATTGGGATGAAAGTTATGAATGGCGTCATTCATGATGTCCCGCGGGTTCATCGTCTCCTTCAGACTGCTTGATATGCTCTGCATTGTCACCGATCGGCCGTTTCCGTCAGTCGAACACCCGCTCGAATAGATCTGATCCACAAGACAATCATTAGACATTCATTGACACGTTTGCAAACAAACAGACAGACCTGATAGGGGAACGCATATCTCAGGGCCAACGCCGCGAAAAACATTTCCACACTAATTAGGAAATTCTGATATCCAGCGGACACTGTGCCGGCACTGGCCCTCTCGCCGTCGTATGTGAACACTGGACACAAACATCACATCTTATAAGTAATCAAATAGTGAGCAAATCATTCATAAGTGTAATACCGGGTGAAATCAAGTCCGCCTTCTCCATGACCGCCAGAATAACACCTTTTGGGGAATACAAGAGAATATCATGAGATGTGTTGGAGTGAAGGGAAGGGAGGCATACAAACCCTGCCAGAAGGACAGGAAGATAACAGATTTGACAGTAAAGAACTTCCAGATGGGATCGTATGGCGAAAGGAGGTCTCGAGTCGCGTGATAGAAGAGCACGAGTCCATAGAGAGCCAGAGAAACACTGATGTTGTATATCATTGTGATGTAGAGATAGCCAGAGTCGGCACTCCAGTCCCCGTCCTTGTATTTGCCGACCGCCTGCAGCACTAGTGTTATGATAGACATGAGGGGCTTCACAGCACAGAACTGGAGGGTCGCCTGTTTGCAGAACCGCAAGAAACCAATGGAATACGTGCGACCGGACAGACAGCACGTGCCGTACCACCAGCTCGAGCGGATGGGTTTGCCACGAATCTCAGTCATTATGTTTCCCTCTCCTCCCAGGTATTCGTAACACAGACTCAAGAAGTTGTAGATTACGAATGCTATTCAATACAAATCAATGAGTGTTTTGTGGTCAGGCGGTGCTGTCTATGCCTACATACCCTCATACCAATCCCGCACACTATCGAAGTACACATAATAGTTGTCTCTGAAGAATAGGAGACTAAGCCATGAGTCGAGCGCATAGATGGGGACAATGAAGAGGATCCT